TCTTGACACAGTACGAACAAGTGAGTCCTCGCTGGCCGCTATAACAGTCAATTCCATTTGCTAATTAAAAAAAATGGCCGGTGTAAGTTGCGGTCTTAAATCCTGCGTGTCATAGAGATGCTTTGCACACGAGCTATATTGCAGCCGCCATTACTGACCTTCTCTCGTCTTACCGAAATACCAAGCCACTGAAGCGCGCTTTGAGGAGCCTCCACAAAGCCATTGCTGGGGAGAAGGACACAGTCGGATCTAAAATGGCAATAACCTGTCCTGCTGGGGCAATGATGGAGGGAAATGATCAAAATAAAAGGAAACAAAAACTGAAGGTCACTTATGGCGGCGCCCATGAACAGCTGCTGAAAAGCGACTATACTATCGCGTGGAGTTCGGCTTTAATTTGTGCTACTCACTTGAAGCATTAGGGTAAAAGACACTGCTGGTGCAAGAAATCGTGCTACACTTCACTGTAGTTATGTTTTCTTTCACGTTGATAGGCATCATATTGTCAGTTAGCTTGTAAGTTAAATCACTCGTTACTGGGTGAAAGACCTCATGATCCTATTGTCTAGGCTAATATTTATTTATTTTTGTCAACCTAATCCGATGCCGTTAGCCAAGAGCAAGGGAAAGCTAAAGCGAACGCTAATCCACTTTTTGTCTTCCGGAGAACAATGCTTTGGTCATTAGCCACAAAATTGCTACCCTACGAGGGGTCGTAGATTTTACTGATCTTCCGCCTTGCGAAAATATGTACCCTGGACATTTTCTTGAAAGTAAGCTTGAGCCAAATTCGAGACATACCGGGCTTGCGAAAAGAATTCACCATAAATGTAGATATAAAAACATAACGCGGTCTTTCCCGTAGCCTATGTCGTGCTGCGGGAAAAACACACTGCGGACGGAGGGCTGGAGCGGCAATGAATTATCGCTCTGGGAACCTGAGAGAATGCTGTTCAATCTTAGCTGTTGATACATTTTGACAGCATACAGACTCTACTTAGTATGCCTACAGGAACTTCCTAAATACCGAATGTTTGTTTTATAAACTCACGAAAACTACAAAATAGAATGAGATTTACATATATGGGTCTGTGGGAGCAAAAACTATTTTTTCCTTGTGAACCTAAAAAAATAAACGGAGCGTGTTGAAATTTCTCCCATACTAATGAATCGCCCTTATCTTAATAACTCCAGGGGAACTTTTCGTTATTTTATCTTGATCGGGTAGATTATATTGTTGCTTGGGCGATCGCACACACCTGCCAAGAAATGGCACAAGTGCGTCATGCCCGGAATCTCGGGGTTGTCCGTTCTGCAACTCCGTCAGTATGCCGGTCTCCTCGGCCCACTGTGTTCAACGCCCATTGATTATGATCGCGAACACCCTGCAGGCAACTGCCTTGACCGAGAGCGGTCGGTAGTCGTGTAAAAACTGCTTGTTGCCGCCTATTTTTGGAATGAAGGTGACTCGACCACGTCTCCAGTCGCTGGGAATCGGGTCATCGCCGCAGCAGATTCGAACAAACAGGTGCGCCGGGTGCTCCCGTGCGTCAGGTCCTAGACCTTTGGGCACCTTGGCCAAGATTCAATTCAACCCCTGTGCTGTGCTGCCGTTTAGCCGCGCCAGTGCACGTTCTACTTGAATACGCCCCACGACTGTTGCATTTTGGTCGGCTGTAGTGCTCTGCGGGGCATCTTCTAAATGAGGGATTTCATCCCTCATACCTTCTGGACTGCAGTTCATCTGTTCCGTCCCAAAGAAACTGTACAGATATTCAACCAAATGTTCTTTTATGTTCTTTACCTCACTTCCATTGTACGGATGCACCAGTTTGGGAGAGCTGTCTTTGTCATCAAAACTACCAATATAACCCCAATACTACACTGCGGCTTTTTTCCGCCCTTATGTCTGCCATCGCTTTCCAGCTTGCTTTTTTTTTTTTTTTTTTTTCAACAGTAGCTTGTGTTAGCGCCTTGCGTCTTTGGTACTCCTCCTACAGTCGCAAGGTCTCTGGAACTTTTCCAAACGACTTTAATGCTTGGCGATATTCTCGGTTCGCTTCCTGTCTGTACGGAATCGCTCTCCCAATTTCCGCGTCTCACCACGGGACAAGCTGCCTTTTTTCTAGCGCGCTCCTTGCCACCGAACGCTTGGCAACAGCCTTCCCGAGTTCCGTGGCGTATTCTTCATACGTTGTGGCGTTCATACGTTGCTAACTTTCTTCGAAGTCTTGACATACAGCCTCGATATACCCCTGGCGCAACCGAAGAGTCAATGCAGGCTTTGTCCGACTGCGATGCTTGGATTGCTTTGAATTGTAGTAGTATGTTACCATGATCACTGCCAACGCTCCGCTCACTATTGTCGTCCACAACTATTTTTGAAGGCGGTTTGACAGCCTTTTGGAGGCGACAGCGTAATCAATGCAGGGTTTTTTTTGTCCCGCATCATCCATGTGTGCTTTCCTTCGCACTCTTCTTTTAGGTATAAGATCTTCAGCTCCGAATCTTCTGCCAGTTGTCTCAACATTTGCCCATTCTTGTCATCGCGCCTGTCCAGCTCAACCAGGGCCCGTTTGCTCGAAGCACTAACCGCGGCTAAAGTTAGCCGCAGTACCTAGGAGGGGGATTTTGAGATCACGTGACTGGCTCGGTAGGGATGCGGGGAAACATGGCGGTGCCCCAGTGAGTGAGCGCCGCTCGCTTGGGAACTAATATGTCGTTGTGGTTCCAATATCGGGCGCGTTAGTCAGCAACGAATGGTGCAGGAGGCTTTCGCTTTGTCTTACCTCACTTAAACCGCAAAGCATGGGAAATGACATCGCCGCATTTTTTAGATACTGTTTCGATTCTGGGCACTCCTAAGCCTAAATGAACGCGATAATTGACGGCATAGCAACGTCTATAAAAGCGGATTGTTGATAGCACACAAAAGCAGACGGCGTCCCAAAAGACCCTTTTCTAAATTATCCAAGCACCGAGGTGCATGCTACGACTTTAGTTGCACGCGTTGCACGTGCTGGCGTCTGCAGTAGCAACCATTCTAAAGCAAAAAGTATAAAACAAATTTTGCCTTGCACGCGCGTTCGTTAAAGCCTTATTATGATTTTTTTCTTCAAATCTTTTATAAGAGGAAGGCCAGCGCGCGTGAACCGTAGAATTACACTTCCAGCATTCTCCTCGCGATGCTTGGATAATTTAGAAAAAAGGCTGTCGGAAATCCGCTTTTCAAAGACGTTGCCATGGCGACAATTGTCGCGTTCATTTAGGCTTAGGAATGCCGAGAATCGAAACATTATCTAAAAAATGCGGCCATGTCATTCCCCATGCTTTACGGTTTAAGTGAGGTAAGGCAAAGCGAAGGCCTCCTGCACCATTCGTTGCTGACTAACGCGCCCGATATTGCAACCACAACGACATATTAGTTACAAAGCGAGCGGCGCTCACTCACTGGGGTACCGCCATGTTTCCCCGCATCCCTACCGAGCCAGTCACGTGATCTCAAAATCCCCCTCCTAGGTACTGTGGCTAACTTTAGCCGCGGTTAGTGCTTCGAGCAAACGGGCCCAGGTGACCATTAAAGTCTCCCATCAGTAGCACGGAATGGTTTCGGTCCAAACTTTGGACATCGTGTCGGACGCAGCTTAGTATGGCCTTGTTATCATCTTGCCTGTTATTTTCCACCGAAAGATAAATGGTGCATACCACTGTCGATGCGTTCCCGACTTGTCCTTGCACCCATATGTGCTATCGACACGTTTCGAATTTTCTGAGCTATGCATGCCCTTTCCGAGGCCATAGTAAGCCCACGCCTCCTCCCCCTCGGTTGCCTTCAACCCTAGCTGTTACATCCAGCCCAGCGCCATGAAGGGCCCACTTAAGGCTCTTCACCGTCACGCAAGTCGGTCTCAGCAACCCCAAACAAAAAGAATAGTTGTTCACTGAGCATTATATACAACTCATTCCACTTCCTTTGACGTCTTGCACCATTCAAATTTAAAAACCCAACGATAACACTAACTTTTTGTCTCGTTTCACCAGGAGGCAGCAGTAGTTCGGATGTCCCGGTTTGCCTTTTACGCATACCCCCTAACGCTGCATTCCCGCCACTTGTTGGCGGACTATGCGATTCAATATTTGCGCGATCTCCAGCGGCGTCATGCATGCATGGTGCTGGACGTAGCCAGGGAAAAAGGGTGACTTTTGGTATGCAAGTAGACCCTTCTCACTGTTGATATTAGAGAAGTCTCTCTGTCTTACTTGGCCACCCTCGGCCCTGTCATTCCATCGCACTGTTTTACAGCAAGCTCGATAAAGCGCCCCCTATAGTTCCATCTCCCGCCCCATAGCAGCAGTGACGGGACGATATTGCGCCACCGGGGGATCCTGGTGTAATTGGTGGTGGCTGTTGGCTTCGATGAAGATAAGGTCCAGCAGCCTCTACCATTGACTTCGAGATTTTAGTCGTCGCAGCAGCAGCTGTATTTTATGTTAAAAGACAAGGAAGACGAAAGACCATTAACGTTGGTAACTTCGGCAGATGTTCGAAAGCCTTGGTTCCGGGTCTTTGAGAGTCTCACTCTCTCGCGCGATGGTGTTGCGAACTATCCCTGTAAGTGCGCCATGATTCAAGCACAACTTCGTCGGGGTGAACACATAACAGTACCCATCACCAATTATTCCAACCTCAAATTATAATACGTACCTAAAATATTATATTACTTTAGTGACTTTGATTTCTAATGTATGACTAATCATTGGTCGATCCCTTTTTTGATATGCACCGACAACTAATGAACAAAGACGACCATAATCACTTAGGTTCGTGTTTCACGAACTAACATCGTACAGTATTAGTTATCATCGTATAGCTTTAAAGATATAAAAAAATAAAATTAGAAAAAAAAAACAGTGATGATCGCGTGGTAATGCTAACAGTGACGCATTCCGTACAACAAAAAAAAAGGCCGGTACGCCTGTCCTAAAGAATATTCTTTCAGGTCTTTCTGCTGCGAAGTTACTCACCGAGCAAGGCGTCGACGTCATCGTGTTGGAAGCGAGGGAGAGGGTGGGAGGACGGACGCATACTGTCAAGGTAAATGGTAAAAATAGACCCTTCTCAAATGTGTGGGTTATCTAATAGCTGTCGAGTCGATTATACGAGAACGCCATTGGTTGGGCACGCACTGTGAGTATCTATTGGACACAAGAGTTGCGTCAGAGTTCGGCGTGAACTCGGATCTAATCCCACACTTCGTGCCCGAGAAATGGCGAACGCCAATGTTGCTTGATCGTGTTTTAAAACAAGTCTAATAAGTACTGAAGCATCACCGAAACGACACATTCGCTTAGCATTTTTTTTTAATTGTGGTATTATGATTAAATTAAAGGGAGACTGAAGGGAAATTCGTGTTTGCAGTTGACAGTGACTGTAGAACCCTGCATATCCGCGGATTATCCGCGGATATCCGCAGTAAACTGGCGGATTCGCATAAAAATGAATCAGATTTGGCGGATGCGGATGCGGATCGTGGATGCGAATCGAATCGGATGCGGATATCCGCGAGTCCGGATATCCGCATCCGCATCGAGTGAGTGATAATATGAAGTGTATCATCGAAGGTATTGCAGGGGCAAACTACACTCTTAGATTAAAGGTGCCAACCGGGGAGAAAATCGTTATCTACGTCAATAAAGATTTGAGTGTCACTAAAGATTGCTTTAGAACGTTCTATCTCGCCAAAACTTATGTCTTAGAAAAAGCAAAGAATGCAGGAGTATCAGTCGTCGCTAATAAGATACCATGATTTTTTTTTTAAGTTTTAATATTGCTTTTAATAACGCCTCAGAACGACGTGGTCGAATGGGTGGACCTCGGCGGTTCTTACGTGGGTCCCACACAGAACCACATCCTGAGACTGTCTCACGAACTCGGCGTCGACACCTACAAGATCTTCGCCGATCTCAAGAGTATCCACTACAGCGGGGTGAGTGATGCCACTGAAGGCAGAAAACGCGTCCGGTCTCTTTGTCAGTGTACTACATTGCCGAGACTTTGAATACCACGAACCACCTATTGTGAATACTTCCTTCATTATTGCCTTTCTTCTATTCTTTTTCTATTTTTGTTGAGATGTTGTTTTACATTTGATTTATTTTGCTCGGGGAAGACCCGCTTTATATGAACTACGGAATGAATATAGTCATAAAATAATCCTAACTGCACAGAGTCTAAGGCACGAACCGAAATACAAACCAAAAATTGTTGTCAAGCAAATTTTCTGTTTTTCTTTTTAGTGAGCAGGGATTGAACTTGTGAACCCATTTTTGTACTTTAATTTGTGAAGACGCGGTTACATTGCTAACACATCGGTAACTGCGTTCGATTCACTTGCACTTCCTGCACCGGTGCAGAAAAGTGTACTTCTGGTCGTATATCAATAGACATACGGAAGTACACTGCCCTACACTTTTCTCCACCGGTGCAGGAGGGGCAGGTAAATCGAACGCAGCTACTTTATGAGGCGTCTTCCATTGGTCATGCAGAAACTGTCCGCAGACATATTCTAAGCATACACATAGTGTGAAGCAAGCGTGCTCCGAAGATACCTGACGCGTGTCCGCAGCCAACTCTGTCATCATGTCTGCGGAGAAAGTCTGTGTCTTTTTTCGTTTTTCTTTTTTTTAATGGTGTGTAAAGAGTGTCATTGCGGCCTAAAGGAATTATTTATTTCTCCGAGTCTATCGTATAATATTTATAAACAAATGTTCGCGCGATCCGCTGCCTCGAGCTGTGTGCCAGAAGTAAATGTAAAGCCATAAATACTATTGAGTTTTCTCACGCTTTTACCTTTAGGTAAGCGTAAACGCGGATTTTTCCTAAAGATGAACCCATGCGGATCGGAACCTCCCGATCCCTCTGCTTGTAGGGGCGAGCTTACGTCTTCGACACCACGTGGGCTGAGTTCGGCTTTTGGAGTCCTCTGGCCTGGTTCGACATCAACTACGTCATGCACAAGATGGACAAAATGATGGAAGAGGTATACGTAATCTATACGATATGGACTGTCTTGTGTTGTGTTGTTGCGTTGCTTCAACGCGAGAACATTTTTGTTTCTCAGACAACAAATGTATTCTTATACTTCATTTCCTCAAGTCGTGTAAGTGCAGTGCAACCAAGCCCTAGATGTGTCCGGACGATCATTCGCGCAGTGAAAGTCGTTATGAAAGCGACACAGGTTCGCGTCTACAGTTACCACCACGCTTCAAAGAACTGATAAGCCTTTAAAAAAATTTAAAAAGTACTGCGCAGCGGCGAAACCCCATACCTCGGCTAACGTCCGAAAGGTGGGTTGCGCTACCCTCCTGTCTCTTCCGCGACTCATCTGAAACGTTGAGGAGGCGAAATACGTAGCTCGTCTCTCCTCCCGGAGGCCAATTTGCACTTAGAGCTTTCGCCGCATGGTGCCGTCTTTATGCGACAAAAGTTTATTCAAATGAAGTTTTGAATGCCAGAAGCTTTGAAGGATATACGAGAACTTCGCAAGATGCTGTTTTCGTGTCCTCCGTATATAGAAACCTGACCTCATACATCGCTTTGAGCGATGGATTTACATTGAACTATTCTCCCTGGTTGTCATCAAAGCCAATGTACACGTTGTTCGAACATATTTTAAATGAGGTTGCAGTTACGTCCGTATACCGTCTTAATGCGTATTTATTTAGTGGACTTGGCAGACATTAGGTAAGGAGGTTATATTAGGTCAGGTTAGGTTACGTTAGGTTAGGTTTGGTAAGGTCAAGTCAGGTCAGGTCAGGTCAGGTCAGGTATGGTCAGGTCTGGTTTTGTCCGCCGGGCCCGATAACCGCGGAGTAAGGATAGTATCCATGTAATTAATACTTTTTTTTTCAAATGGAGCTATATATATATATACAGATTCCGGCGAATCAACCCTGGAATTGCCCGTACGCCCAAGAGTGGGACGCAATGACGTTGCAGTCCTTCTACGAGAAAGAGACCTGGACCAAGTAAGTCAAAGTTCCTTCTTTTTTTGTGTGTGCGTGTAAGACGCGGGATATGCAGCTAAGGAGTGACGGCTTGCTGCAAAGAAGAGTCTAAAATCGAATACTTTATCATAAAGAATGCATTACACTCAGCTCATATGCATTATACAGCGCAGCTACGGCGCAAAATTAGGCCCTCGTGGTGAGGTAGCGCGCGGCGCGTCCGAGAAAACGCACGCGCGTCGCGCTGTGGCACGCTCTCGCGCTGTATCACGTCGCCGAGGGAGAATGCTGCCGCTGGCGCACCGATTAGATTAGATTAGAACGCGATTTATTAGCCAAAAAATAATGAGGGAGTGGGATTGGGGAGGGCACCGGTGACTGAATTCGAGGTCTGGGTGCTGGCATATTAATAAAAATCAGGTTAGATGAAAGAGTCTACTGTGGCCTCATGGACGAAGTCCAGTAGGCTTCGTAGAATCTTTCGTTGTCGGTCTTCATTTCCAGGAGGGTGAGTCCAGCCTTCAAATGAATCAACGTCTTGGGGTCTATATATTGCTCTTGTGTTTTCATATTTGGGACATTCCCAGATCAAGTGTCGTATGTCTGCTTTGACTCGCATGTCGCAATGGGAGCATAAAGCTGATCTTCTACCCTTGCTCCACAAGGCGAGGCGGGCCGGCGATAGTTTGGCGTCTGTTCTTACTCGTGTGAACAGCACTTGCCCTCTGCGACCGAACCCCTTAGAAGGGAGTCGGGGAAGATCCGGTTCGGATAGGCGCTCCTCTAATCTCGCTTTGATGTCTTCTTTAATCCTCGCCCTCTCCTCAGCCGGGTCATACTCCTGATTTTCCCAGTCGACGGGTGACATAGCCCGCTCCTCAGAGCGAGTTGTCCGGTCGTACCGGTGATCGATGCGTGGATGTGGCGGCTCATCGTCTCGTTGCCCGGGAGGAGCTAGAAGAGACGCGCGGGCGAGATGGTGAGCCGTTTCGTTTCCGGGAATTCCAGCATGGCCTGGAACCCATTCAATTCTCGTCGTGACTCCTCTCCGCGAACAAAGTTCCGAGACGAGTTTCTTAATTTTCCGCACCTGGATGCTGGGACTGTTGTGGGTGCGGCACTCCTTGATTGCCTCCTGAGAATCTGTAAATATTCGAAGATTCTCAGGAAGGGGGCCACAGTGCTCACTGATGATCTTAAGTGCGAGCCGAATGGCTGCTAGCTCCCCGCCCTTGGTTGACACCCCAGGTGGAAGGGCTTCGGCTGCTTCCAACTCCAAGTGACGGAAAACCACGGCGGCAGATTTTCGGGTGATGGGACCTTCTAGCAAGGCCGTGTCTGTGTATGCGGCTACTGTCGTTCCACAGTGTTGCCAGCTCTCCACCATCTTGATATGCGCTTTTACGCGTCTTTCTTGCTGTTTGCAGTCCTTCTTGCGGAGCTGTGGTTTGCTGCTAGTGATCACCGGGAGGTCCTCCCAGGGTGGAATCGGACCCGATAGTTCGGAAAGATGTGGACGTGTGATCCCGCGAAGGCTCTTGATGGCCCTGCCTTGAGGAGTTGTCCAGAGACGAGCTTCATGTGCATCCTTCCTAGCACGCACGACGTCTTGAATTTGATTGAGTTGCGCGTACTGCTTCAGCTTCGGGAGAGGGGTGAAGCGGGGCAGGCCCGTAATAACCCTCATCGCCTGGTTGTTCAGGAATTCAAGCTGTTTCCACTGCCGCGCCGTAATCTTGTAATGAATGGCCCCATAGCACACCCGGGACACTACGAGGGTCTTGACCACTCGCTTTGCGACGGCTTGAGTTGCTCCTCCGCGTGCGCTGCAAATCCTGCGGATCACATTGAGCGCAGACCTGCCTTGCTTGAGTGTGTTGCGCAACCAAATGTCACCCTTGCCGTTCGGCTCGATCGTAATACCGAGGACCTTGAACGACGTCGATGGTTGAATGCGTGTCTCGGTAAGTACGAGGTTCAGTTTTGATGCGTAGTCTTCACCTCGGTTGTATAGGCGAGGCGAGGTGACGACTGTATAGTTTGTCTTTTCTGGTGCAGCCCGCATCCCCACTCGGGCTAAGTGGGCTTCGATTGTGTCGAGTCCAGCTTGTAGCACCATTTGCTGCACCTTTAGGTCTTCCTTGTAGGTCCAAATGGACACATCGTCTGCGTAGACGGTGAATCCAAGACCCGGGATTTTGCTAAGTTCATGAGGTAGACCTGCCATGGCTAGATTGAACAAGGTGGGTGAAAGTACGGATCCCTGCGGGACCCCCACTCGGTTCGGCTTGGGCTCGCTGTCATGCTGGCCACAGCGGACTGAAAAGGTTCGCCCAGCCAAGAAGTTCTTGATAAAATTGAGAGTCCGTCCCGCAAGGCCTAGCCGATGGGCTTCTCCAATGATTGTGGAGTGGGGCACAGAATCGAACGCCTTTTTCACGTCGATTGCCACGATGGTTCGGAACTTGGATCGGTGCACATTATGGATTACGTCGTCGGAGATGAGTGTCAAGCTCTCTTGAGTGCCAAGGCACGATCGGAACCCTGTTTGCGCCGGGTGGAAGGCTCCCGTCGTTTCGAGGTGCCAGTCGATTCGGGACAGAACCATCCGCTCCATAACTTTGCACGTACAAGACGTTAGAGAGATGGGCCTAAAGTTGCTCAGCGTGCCCTTGTCTTTGCCAGGCTTCGGTATAGGGATGACTAGAGAGTATTTCCAATGCTTGGGTAGCATGCCTGTAATCCACACATGGTTCACCAGCTCAAGTAATTGAAGTTTGATGGACTCCGGAAGAATTTTCAGCATGGTCATTGTGACCCGATCCGGTCCCGGTGCAGTGCTGGACTTACCCTTGTGGAGAGCCCACTCAAGCTCCCCCAGCGTAAATGGCAGGTCCAGGCCGTCGTCCGGGGCCAGAATCTCTATGTCGTACGGTGATGGAATGTCGCTCGCGCTGTCTGGCTGGGGAAAAAAGAGGTCCCCTGCCATGTTGGCGAGCTGCTCGTCGGTCTTGTTCATCTTGAGGGCCAGCGCCGAAGTGGCTCCCTTCTCCTTCCTTTTCCCCAGAAGTGTTCGGCTGACCGCCCAGAGCCTTTTTACCGATGTCTTCTCTGAGAGAGAGGCGCTAAAATCGAGCCAGCGGCTGGAGTCTAGTTGTTTGGCATAGATCTTGGCTTCCACCGTGGCGCGCGTAATCGCGCGCCGAGCATACTGGGTCCTAAGGCCGTTGCGGTACCGTTGTATCGCTTGCAGCCACTTTGCCCATAGGCCCAGTAGTCGGAGACCCGGTGTCGGCGCGTCCTGCTCGACGCGAGTTTCGGTGGTTGCCTCTTTCAGCGCTGATTGCAGAAATCCCTCGAAGGATGCCGCCGCGGAGGAGTCCCCTTGTTCTAGCTCTTGACGAAACTTGTCCCAGTTGATAGTGCGTGCTATGCGTTTCTTGCCTGTTTTGACATTCCTTGTTGGAGAGAACTCAAAATAAATCGGGCAGTGGTCGGTTCCCCAGGAGTCCCGGAGACATTTCCACTTGTGATATTGGCTGTGCGGATTGGAGGTCCAAGTCAGGTCTGGAGTTGTGTCTTTGCTCCGGGCGTCCCCGATCCTCGTCTTGATTCCTGGTTTGTTTACCAGCTGTATGCGATGAGCTTGCATTTCCCCAATGAAGCTCTCTGCGCAGTGGGTGTTATGATCATAGCCCCACAGATGGTGCTGCATATTGAAGTCGCCCCCATAAAGCTTCTGGTCCCTCGGGTAGAGAGCGTGCAAGTGCCCGATCCACCCGTGATCCAATTTTTCCTTGTTACTTCGGTTGGGTCTGTAGTAGGAAGAGGTAAAAACAACGTTCACGCCCTGGTGCACCCTGACGCGGACTGCGACGACTTCTTGCCTCTCGGTGCAGTAATTGCCCAAGTCGATCTGGTGCTGTTCAGCCCAATCCGACCGCACGTACACGAGGGACTTCCCCGGAGGGTCGTCTCTCTGGCCAGGGCAAAGGGAAGTGATGGACGGACATGAATATACATTGAATCCAAAAATTTGATGGTGCGCGTGTTGGTTTCCTGCAGCAGGATTACGTCAGGCTTCTCTTCGGGTTTGTCGTGGAATTTTGCACGAAGTTGAGCCGCCCGTTTGCTGAGCCCGTTGCAGTTCCACTGTAAAACCCGAATCACGTTGTTATGGTGATGAATGGGCTGGTAAATAAAGTTTTCATCTGTGAAAACTTCGCCTTATATTGATTGTTCTCCTCTTGCTGGGCTTGAACCATGTTCTTGAGTCGATCCAGCTCAGCCTTGAGGAAAGCGCATGTGTTCCTGAGCTCTTGCACTTCTGCCGACTGTGTTGTCACAGGCACCTCTGGCGGTGTCGGTGGTTCTCGGCCGCGTTTGACCATATCGGCCCACGTGCCGGCATTGGGCGGAGGTGGAACTTTGACTTCCCGCCTCGCCTCTTGTCGTTGTTGCTGTGCCTTATTCAGCTCTTTGTGTTTTTTTACCTCTTCCCGGATTTGCTTGTTTGCCTCCAGCCACGTCGGGCAGGTTCGGTCAGTGCCTATGTGACCTGCCTTTCGACACCCTTGACAAAACAGGGCGCTGGGGCTCGGGCAGCTGACGTCTTGGAGGATGTTTTCATGTATGTTGCCGCAGGTGGCACAAACCGAAGCATTGGGGCAGATGTCCGGCTTGTGGCCCAGGCGATGGCAGTTGGTGCATGTAACTGCCTTCGGCTTGTATGGATATACTCGCATATACCGTCTTCCGTATAACACGGATCGTGGTATCCTGTCACTGTCGAAGGTGAGCATCGCCGTGGTGGTCTTGCCCAGGCGCCGGGCTGCTACCCCAGGAATCTTCTCAGAGTCCAGTTCGAGGTTTAGGACCTCGTCCTGCGGATCTTCTTTTAAGGTGTGGATGTCATAAATGACTCCCTTGCAATAAGCGACTCCATATGCCCGGAATACTTGCACGGGTATATTTCGTTGCTCTATAACAACCTCCCGGATCTCCTGGATGGACTTGGCAACCTCCTCTGAGTCAGTTCTGACTGAGATGGTGTTGGCCTTTTCCATCAAGTGCATTGTAAATGCTGCCGTATTATGTCGTGTCTTGATCATGGTTTTCAGTTGTGGTAGTAGCGGCTTGATCGATGTCCTGGTCCGAGTAAGGCGGATATTATACTCGATGAAGCGCTTCTGACGGGGCTTCGCTGGGGCCCCGCCTTGTGTAGCGGTAGGAGGATCGGCCCGAAAGCGTTTCCTCTTCTTTTTCTTGTTTGTAACGGGGGTCCATTCGGAGCCGTCATTGTCGTTCGCAGGCGCGCCGCCAGCTATGTCGCTCACCATATTGGTACCGTCAGTGGGCGTCAGCATCCCTTCTGCGCCGCAGGGCTGGCGTAGCATTGGAATATCTGATGCAATGGTGGTTGGATTTGACGAAAAGTCCATTTCCTCTGTTGTTGCTACAGGAGCTATCGGGGCTTTACCGGCCGCCGAATTCTTCTTCTTTCTCCGCGTCGGTGCCTTGAGCGTTGCAGAGGAATTGCCTGTTGAGTCTTCTAGAATGTTCTTGAAAATGTTGACTAGGCTTTCCCGTGGAATGCTCCGAAGCAAGGTCCGTAACACTTGCTCTACGTCTGAGGCCGGGCAGGTCGGTAAGAGTGGAAGTTGCTCACTGATAGGGTGGTCTACGGTTGGAAGTGCCTGAGAAATCTGACAGTCCTTGTCCGCCGTGGCGGCGGCGGGCTTGGGTCCTGCGGCAGATCCCTTTGTTGTCGTGTCCATATCTTCAAGTCCTTGAATGCAGGGGCCAGAGGCTTCAAACGCCTCTTCGAGGTTTCCCGAAGATGCGGCCGAGGTCGCCTGGCTGTCCATGCTTGTCTGAATTGCCTGGACGAGAGCGGTGGTAGGTTTAGGCCTAGCCGCTACGGTTCCGGTGCTTATCTTCGGACCCTTGAAATTCCCTTTTCGGGGACCTCCAAGGGTCCATTGGCGTGTCGGCTGGTTAGCTGTGGCGTCCTTGTTGGTCGTCGATATCGAGAGTGGCTGCGAAGGGGTGCCAAGACCCCTTCGAATCGGAGCAATGATTAGGCCTCAGGTAAGAGTTCACGAGAGCACGTCTGGCCTCCTCGAGAGCTGGAGGCAGAATCTGGCGCACCGAGATAATGAGTTTGCCATGTTTGGCAAGCGACGACAGATGGCGGCCAGCTCAAAGGGGAAAACACCCAAACTGCGGAGCGTCCAGCCGTTTCAACTACTCGCTGCCTGTCCGCTCCAAGACCATTGAATTTTCGTGGAGTGAGATATGTATTCATCCAGCAAAATATTTGCTAAAATCCTAATTTTTCTTTTATTAAAATTAAACAAAAACCGAAAACAAGAACTTCATGTTTTTTTTTAGTTATATAGAGATGTGGAATGTCCTTGCACCGCCGCTCATAATGTCTGTGCATACATAGTATATCTTTTAGGCACATCGAAATCAAGGATCGTATTGTATGCAAAGGGCTAATCAAATTGTAGCAGATATGAAGTATGCAACAACACCATACGAAGGCGATGTTTTCAGCTGCCTACTTCCTCTTCACCAGGGGTTTCCCCAGGAATTGCAATTGGGGGGTGTGTCTAAATTTCAAGCCGGGGGGGGGGGGGGGGGGGGGGCGGTTAGGGAGGTGGCATTGAGAATAGAGGAGTCGTTGCGAACTAGGGAGGTGTCTAAGGGGATGTGCAAAGAAATCACTCGTTTACACAACGCGGTGTCCTAAACGGGCAACGCAAATGATAAAAGCCGTACTTGAGTTTGCACCACAATCCACTATGCAAACAAACGGGCCACACTATACCGTCAAAACAAAAGCAGCTTTTTTTCTGTCTGGCAATTTAAGCATTATCTATTGCAGCACCTCTTGTTTCCAAGCACGTTCTTGTTGAAGTTAAAGGTTAAAGTCAACAGGATACCCTAATGCATTACTTACAGCCGTGGCAGAGGATTTATTAAAGAGAATAAGATGGGGTGAAGGACCTAAACGCAATACAAAAAAGAAAAGGACGGCCGTTGTTCCATATATACATAAAGTTTCGCACGGTCTAAAAGAGATAGGTAACCGCATTAACATTAATGTTGCTTTTTCAGCACCAAATAAGCTTCTAAGCCTGTGCAGGAAGGTAAACGGATCGGCACACCGGGAAGTTGGTTGTTCGAAAAAGCACCAAAAGAGCTTTGTAAATTGTACTGAAGGAGTCGTATATTCTCTCCCACTCTCATTAGGTAGAGAGTATATAGGCTAGACTGGAAGGTGTCTGAATGATCGTTTAAGAGAGCATTTTTATAACACCCACCGAGTCGTAGCTGGGCACTTGGGAATCCATTGTCGAGATTGTGGCTGTGTAGCACATTTTAAAATTTGTTCTGTAATAGGTAGGAGTAGAAACACATTGACTAGAGAAATACTGGAAGCGGAAAGGATAGCACAGCTGAAGGACAAGTGTGTAAGTAGTCCTTCTATAGCGCTGTCGACCAAAGAGCTCCAATTTCTATCTAAATGATAGCGATGAGGGAGAAGGACGATTTGTAAAAGTGTTTCGTTTAGGTATTTTTTCCTTTTCTTCATTTTTCTTCTCTTTTACTGTTCTTTTGCCTTCTCTTTAGAATTTTCCTTTGTATTTCGTGCTACTTCTTCTACTTATCACGTTCTGAAAAGTCAACCCAGACGTTGAAGAGAAAAATGAAGTAGTCGAATACACAAGAGTTGTAAGTTCAGCGCGTGTGCTTGTTTTCCTGAGTGTCTGGTGTGAGATTGATTTTTCCCGCGCTGTCACCGTCAAGTATGGTTCACCAACTCGCCCAAGCTTCCATCCTATGAAGTCCTAAAGATGTTAACGACAGGGTGCTTTCAATGTTTGTCTGTTTGTTTGTTTAGTGGGGCTCTTAACAGGCGGATTTGTTCCAGGCACGCACTTTGTTACCTGACGTCGCTGTCGAAAGTCAACCTGGCCACTGAGCTCGGACAGATATCGTTGCTCTGGGCGCTCTGGTACATCAAGTGCTGCGGCGGAAACCGAAGGATCAACAACACGGTCAATGGGGCCCAGGTAGAGGATTCTTGGCGCGTCAGGTCGAAACAACGTCTTGACTGCAGAAGGACTTTTTTTGTGGCGTCCTTCGTGCATGTCGTTGAAGTGGAATATTCTTTGTGATGAGAAAGACCTACAGGGGCTTTCAATCAAAGTATACAGTTATGGGGTTGTGGCTATATTGATTTCACCTCAAGAACCCTAGTAAAGAAAGTATCCAGCACCACGTGAAGCATTACTAAATTCCCCCTTTATCGGGAGAATTCATATCTAGAATTTTAGATTAGATATAAATTACCATATTACGACGTACACGGTTCACACGCCAAAGCATCCCTTCTTCCTCCGAAAAACAAGCGAACCTATAGGTCGTCTGACGTGTATCCACGACATACGACGTGAACTCGTATATACATAAAGGGTTAACATTCTCCCAGGTGGAAGGCATCAAGTTAGGTGCACGTGCCAACATCAGGACTAGGACGTGACAACGTACATTTCGTGATATACAAGTATGCACCTGCATAGGGAGTCATACACAAAAAGATATACGCGAGCACAACGTATACGTGATTGCCAACAGTGGCAGCAGGGGCTAATACGCCCATTATCATTCAATCAATCTCTACCTAGCGCACGCATTATATGGGTTCGCCAGCCAACGCTGGCGAACCAATACTATTTCTAAAGCTGTTTTAAACTAACTCCCGATTGCATAAAAAATACCATGCTCAGCAAACGGGATTATAGTCACAAAACTAAAGTTACGATGTTAATGCAATTAATGCAAAGGTGCAGCGAGCTGGACAAGAATGACGGTTTTAATTTTTGGACCGCACTAGTCACCTAGCTGTGTTTGGAGATATCTGTTTGTCTTTTGTCCCCCTTGTTCCGCCTCTCCAGGGATTATTATGCATAATCTCAACTGAAGCGAGATTGCCTAAGTCTTAAACATACACACAACCCAATCATTATTATTATTGTCTCGCGCAATCTCGACTAGCGGCACGACAATTCTAGCTCTGTAGTGCAGCGTTGTTATGCTCTTGGTAAGACAGTCAAGCTACCTCGAATGTGATCTTTGTTAGATCGTTTCAGGCAAACCAGCACCGTTGCTTAAAGGAGCTGTGCAACGATTTTAACATTCAAAGAATTGGCATTTTCTGCTTTGGATATTGTTCACCTTGTCAGAGATGACAGAAAACACACCTCCTTTCATCGAAATGTTGCGATTCCGTCGCGTAATAGCGAGGCAAAACTTGGAATATTCCCCGAACTGCAGCCGCGAGCGGCGGCCATGAGAAACACGCGGCGTGACGTCAATGGGGAATCTTGTAGAAAAATAGCAAGTTGTGCGAATACCTGCTCGATAAAAGGTAACTTTTCTATAAATCTTGTCGTTCCAACATATATATAAATGCGTCGAAAACCTGGTATCATCGACAATACTTTTGTTATTCGGAGTTTTAGTGGCGTCATCTATCCTAGGTCCACAAAACCTTAAGCTCTCTCTGCTACCGCGAACATCCGCCAGAAGCCAAAGGGGAAGAAGGACAGGGCCGGAAAGGTATGGCCGGACCCGGATGAGACTTTCCTCCTTTCACCATATTGTTCGCGCGGCGCCCGCCAGCGCGTGGTCACGCGGTCGCGAGCGGATGAGTTCTCGCTGCTCACTGATGGCTCTAAAGAGAGAACTTTTCCGGAACCCCGCGCCTACCCCATCAACGTCACTGCGCACGTGACCCGGAAGACGACGTACGAGTTGAGAGGCGGCAAAAACCTGGATCTTTTTTTCATTTGTTTTTAAATAAAAACTAGGGTATCCAGGCAAAATCGGTCTTCTTTAGTTCACTTCAGAAGTGTCAGGCATCAACTTCCACAATAATTTAAGCAAAGCCCTGAAATTGTTGCACAGCTCCTTTAAATAGTCACTTCTATATCTAAAATTGGTAAACATATTTATATTTTCGAATTAATGCCGGGCTAACTTTTTATTTCCTCCGCAGGAAAGAAAATTCAAGGGAGGATCAATGGTGATAAGTGAAAAACTATACGAGCTACTTGGAGGTAATTTCCTACTAAATCATTAACTGTAAAGGACTTTATTTTCACGAGCACGGTATTCCGGGAATTTAGCGAAATGTGGGATTCAGGAATACATCGCGGTAATGCATTTGCCTGATCAACTTTTGCGTGTGTATATATATATATACAGGGTGTTTCAGAGAACTCAGGCCAAATAGCTCCTGCGAAAACTACTCATCGCAACAGAAAAAGGCTTGTGTCGTTTTGGTCCTGGGCCAGTGGCCTATTTAGGAAAATTATTAAAGTCCGGGACGAATTAGAGAACGATAGAAGGCACACGCATCATTTTGCGGCTTTCTGAAAAACCGCACAAATTCGTCGGGTTTTTAAGTTTCGGTTTACTACCGGAGCGCATCTCGGCCCGGGCGGCACCGTGCCCCGTGGAGAGGTAGTGCAACCAGACACTGCTGCGTCGCGCGATGACGGCACAGCAGAGGTTGGTCGCACCTCCACGGGGCGCGGTGCCGTCGGGGCCGAGATGCGCTCCGGCGAACTTGTGCGGTTTTTCAGAAAGCCATAAAATACTTCGCGTGCTTTCTATCGTTCTGCAATTTGTTGATTTAGTGTTTTTTGATGATGCTGAGCAATTTTCTAATTGAAACCATGCCCTTGAACACAATATTAAAAAGTTATTTACGCAAAAATAATTAACATATTAATTATCCTGGACTTTAATCAATTTTCTAAATGGGCGCCTGGCCGAGGACCAAAACGACACAAGCCCTTTTTCGTTGCGATAAATAGTTTTTGCAGGAGCGATTTGGCCTGAGTTTTGTGAAACGCCCTATATATATATATATATATATATATATATATATATATATATATATATATATATATATATATATATAACAGGCTGCTTATAATCTCGACTCCCTGACTCCCCTCTTGTCCTTTAAATCAGATAGAGTACATCTCGACGCTCAAGTTTGCGACCTGGTTCAAGACGAACGGGGTGTTATCGTGCGTGTCATCGATGGGGTAGAATACCAGGTGAGCAGCGAGTGGAACTCATTTATGGCTAAACTGACAAGATAAGAACGCCAGGGAGGAGTTTTAGTCGCCCGCCTCCCACATTAACCTTCCTTCGACGGTGCTTCAGCGTCTCGTGGGCCTCGTGCGTGCACGCGCATTCAAAGCACGGAGAAAGGCAACCGGCGCGTGCTGGAGGTGGCCGGGTGCTCGAAAGAGATGCCTTGTTGTTCTCACCTTGTCAGTGACCCTAACAGATTCGACGTTTCACACGTTTGAGTTCTGCAGTGCGTACCTCATCGCCAACCTCCCCCAGGCCGATCACGCCATCATGGCCATCCCTCTGCCAATGCAACTGAAGATCCACTACGAGCCCTCTCTGCCTCCACTGCGGAATCAACTAATTCAACGGAGCCCCGTTGGATCGGCCATCAAGATAAACATTTACTACAAAACCCCTTTCTGGAGGCAAAAAGGTACGCGACAATTCGAAAAAACTTTGGCAAAACATAACGCTCAAAAGAATTATCGAAGCCGCGGTGACCGTTGTTTATGCTCACGTTTATTGCTTTCTCATTTCGTTCGGCGTTCTTATGAGCTGATGTCCCATTCTCATTGGCTGCAGAGCGACAATAAGATGCACAAAACTCGCCACGCCCCGCGCTGATTCTCTTTCTTTTTTGTTTGTGACAAGGAAGCTTGATCCCATCATTTTGCCTAACCGGTAGGGTGTAGTTAAACATTAATCAACAAATGTCAGCTCTCCGTATCTAACGGAGTGTCGGGGTTCCTAGCTAAACTTAAAGAGACCAGGCAATCACCAAAAACGGACATGCGTCATATACGTGGTATTAATAAATTAGAAAAAAACAAAATTGGCGATTTTCATGCATCGGCGTTTTGAGGTGACAATGTGAGGTGGCGATGGCTTGCTTCGCCGCTTTCGCATTTAATAGAGTTTGTTTACGTGCTTTACATACATTACTTCATGTTAAAATCATTTTGAAAAAAAAATATTTACATAAAATTGATAAATAAATTGTATAAGACACTAAATCGTTAAGTTTTCTTATTATTATGCTTGCTATGCATAAGCAATCATAAACACGATTCGGAAGTTGAAGCAAGATTATTCAAAGAGATTTTGTTTATTTTCAATAAAGTCAGATGCGTGTACTCATGGTGTAGCCATGGTGATCAAACGGGGTGGCCAAATTAAATAACGAGAGAGAGAGAGAGAGAGAGAGAACAAACTTTATTGTTAAGGCGAAGAGGTTATTCTGCAGAGTGACCTCTTTTCCTATAGTGCGCTATTTTTTGTTTATATATTGATTCTCATGTTTCCTTCATTCGTCATTCAATTCAGCCAATGAGACCAGGGTTTATAAGTTACAGGGCATCATTTCAACAGCTGTGTATTCTTATGTCATTCATTTGTTCATTTATTGTTTGCTACAGGATACAACGGTGGCGTATCATGCAGCCAGCAGGAGCTTTCCTTCAGCTTTGTGACAGATGACTGTAGGCCCGGATTTTCCCTGGCAGCATTGACAGTGTAAGCACCCAGCAATTTCTAAGTGCAGCACCAGATGCCTCACAAAAATCAAAGGTATACGAGCCAAATCACGTTTATGCAGCTTGCCATATCCAGTCCACTAAAACCAGGTTCCCACTGCTAATACAGGATACAAAAGACAGTCTGCAGATGGTACCAGATGAATTTTGACCCCTCTTCGCACCCCAACTCATGGACATCCCAGCCACCTTAGACCCCCCCCCAGACTAAAGCTTCCTTGCTACGCCGCTGATCGGGGTTCTCACTCAATGTGTGCAGTGGCACATGTTCTGAATGTTTTCATTCGGTTGAAATATTTGTTTTAAAGCTGTTGGTTGAAACTGCAGCTTTGTCATTGGAAACAACGCCCTGACGCTTCAAGAAATGTCGAAAGAAGAGAGAAGGGAGATTGTTGCTGCGGACTTGGCCAAGGTCTATGGCTGTGACGAAGCCTACAACGTAAGTGACGTCATATTTCGTGTTTATTTTTTTATATAATTTAGTTTTATCAATTGACCCAGGAGGGGCATTACAAAAAAGGGGCGAACATTTGGCAGAACAATAATATAACATATGAATACTATAAAAAAAAATATGATCACAGATGAAAATGGTAATAATCGCTAGGGGTGAGCTGCAAAGGTACAAGCTAGTAAAGGTTCTATAGATCTCTAGGTGTAGTTTACAGATGTGGTCGAGTTGGCGAGAGTAAACGAGGCGGTTTGCAGTGTTGGTCCTACGACAAAGAGTGATAAAAACGTTCGTGAAGCAGTACTAATCTGATTAAAGTTTTACGTGTTTTTTTTTAAGAGAAGGTGGAGAGCGGATTTTAGAAAGGTGACACAGAATGGTTATCATTTTCAATGATTACACATGCTGCTTTATTTCTTTTTTATCGGAAATTGTAATTGTTAGAAATAGTTTGTGCCGAAAATGAGGTTGTTTGGTGCGGGGTCCATCAGGGGGCAGCAGCTGAGGAAAATGAAAGGAGAAGATCCAAAGCAAAACGACAGACCCCTTTCAAAAGTTTGTCTAGCCACCCTGTTCAGATATTTACCCTTGCCAAGAGAACAGAAAGTCCTCGGAGAACTGATCTCAAAATCGGCGCATGCCCGTTGCCTTCGATTAATGAAATGGCGTGGTTTGTATGATATTGTTGCTCAATACCCTTACTTAAACAGAAACTTTGCACCTTCTGTGACGGTAAGCAGATAGCCCTGACTTTTGAAAAGTTTCTTTTTCTGCTTAGTTTTGGCTAGGAGACAAACATATTTGAGCACGCCCGCTACGAAGGGAAAAGCCGCAACATCATCAGCACCATTATCATCCCCATGGGCCTGTGAATATGCTTTGCCGCAGAGCACGTGCAGATTCCATGAACGAAATAAATACGTGACTTGCAGAGGCGTCACATTAACGGCCATTGTGGAGGCAATGGCGACTCACTGTCTTTAGAGTGCAAGTCGCACCACCGAATTTGTATCGTCTCAGCATGAAGAAGATAGGAATGACTAAAGTTACTGGTTCCTTCCATTTACCTTAGCAATCGGTGGAGTGATGTAATATTTGGACACTGCGGTGAAATCTGCACTGTGACACTTGAAATAACAATTTACAAGCTCAGAGTCCAAAACGTCGTCTGAACACGGTCATGCGGCAGATCTGCCCAGTAAATTGCAGCTGCCTGTTCTTTCGGTGTCCTACAGCTCTTTGGCGGTGTCGGATGCACGGGATTTTTAAGAAAGCAGAAAGTAGCCATTTGAATATTTTGTAAGGTGAATACTGCCTACTGACTGATCCCAGCACATGCTTTCAGCCCGTTCATTACGAGGAGAAGAATTGGCTTCAGGAGCAGTACTCGGGTGGCTGCTACGTGTCCACGTTCCCTACTGGTGTCATAAGCAGATTCGGAAAGTGAGTTGTGTGTGTGTCTATCTTTCCTAACAGTCACTCTCACTCCATGTCTCAACATTCATTCCCTCGGGAATCCACTTTGCCAAGATTAGACAACCGATCACACAAAAAAAAGGTTATCGTACCACGGAGGTAAGTAAGGTTGACTTACTACGAGGGCAGGTCAGTTCGGAATAGGGTTAGATACATCACGCACGACACCATAATTTAGCTCTGAATGACATCTTACTTACCTTGTGACAATTCGTGACATCGAACATTGTGGAATGTGATTCCTGAAGGTATTTGACGTGGTGATAAGTTTAGTAACACGACGAGGCAGACATACTAAAAATGAAACACTCACTAGGGGAAGAGAATGTGGCGGTATATAGGAACGTACACCACATGGTTCAGAAATACCTTATAACGGGGAAATAAATTGGAGTTATTAATTTCTAAGTCAAGAGTAAACATTTCAAAATTGTGCTGCTAAAAAGAGTATGTCGCATTGCCCATAAAAATAAATTATAGTATATGGGGCGAGCTAGCAAACACGCAGCGACAACCCCAAACTAAGATAACACTCGCATAAGTATTGTCTTTATTTACGTCATGTGTACCTCTTCTAAGCTTAATATTGTTGAAGCACTTGTAGAAGCCAGAATCCAAAGTGCAATCAAAACCGAATGGATGACATGACACTGTACCGTTCCACCGATACATACGTTTGCTAACCCTTTGCATTAAAGGACCCCGTAAAGACTCTCCATGTCTGCTTTGTTTCTGGTCGAATGATTCAGGACCATTCGTGAGCCCTTCCTCAAGGTGTATTTCGCGGGTACAGAGACGGCAACCACGTGGCCCGGATACATGAGTGGAGCAGTGCAAGCGGGTGAGAGGGCCGCCAGAGAGGTAAGCACACGTTTGCCTTCCTCAAGGTTTCGTATAGAAAAAAAAAAAAAAAAACCTAACCAAACAAGAGTGAAAACAAATAACTTCAGCAAAAATTTAGTGATTTTTGGGGGACACAGAATGTGTGTTTTAAAAACGGCTGCCTGTTATAGACATTTCTTGCTTCATCGTCCCTTTCTTTAAAAGACAAAACAAATCCCTATGGAAAGCATAGCGTGAAACACAAAATATTTTTTTCCTTGATTGCCTAGGTAAGTGGAATGTATGAAATAAACCTAGTCGAATCGGAGTGATTTAGATTACGATTTTAATTATCATTTAAATCATGATATAAATCGTTATACAAATCATGATTTTAACCATTATATGAATCACGATTATATAATCCCTCAAGAGTGTGTTCTTAACACGCATACCTCCTTAACGTCTTGCTGACACATTTTACATGAGAGTAGATGCATTGTAAGGCACGTGGCATCGAGACAGCCAGCTGGTGCAGTTGCAGTTCTTGCAAACTGATCGCTCTTTGCATGCAGTCAACGATTTTCACAATAAAAATGGTTACCATTTTCCCCCGTAAAAATACATGGACAATTTGTATGCGTCAACGGCAATCGGCGATGATGATGAGCGACTGTTGGCTTTGAGTTCACTTCACTTCCCTTCCCTTTACTTCACTTCACTTCTTTTTATTACCTTAAAGACCCCCGTTGGGGGTATTACATAAGGGATGGGGTGTACAAAACAAACATTTGAAAAAGGGCAACAAATCACTGAGATAAATTAATGGTAATATTTTCTATGAAACTTGATAGGAAGGTGATGGCAGCGATGTTGTAGGAAAGGTCGTTCCAGTCTTTGGCTGCTCGGGGAAAAAGTGAGGCAGATAAAGTGACAGTGCGGGACTGAGGGCGGGCGACCTGGAGGAGATGACCGGTGCGGTGGGACCTGCGTGATTCAAAACGATGTAAGGTGCGATACCAAGCGGAAAGTAGAAGAACTTGTGAAATAGAGAGAGGCTGAAAATGCGGCGACGAAAAGAAAGACTTAGCAACCATGATTCAGCTTTTTGGAACGATACACTGACATCGTACGAGTATGAAGCATGAATGAATCTGGTGGCGCGATTTTGAAGTGCTTCGTGTGCGTTGATAAGCTATACTTGGTGTGGGTTCCAGATTGCGGATGCGTATCCAAGTTTGGGTCTCATAAGCGATTTATAGGCGAGTAATTTCACGTGTTGCCGCGCATGACGTAGGTGACGTTTTAGGGCGGCGGAGAAAAGCTCACCGGAGAAAAGCTCACCGAAGAAAAGCTCACCAGAGAAAAGCTCACCGGAGATAAGCTCACCGGCGAAAAGCTCACCGCAAAACCGGCAGATGTGGAGAAAAGCTCACCGGCCTTTGAGCGGATGCAGAGAAAAGCTCACCGATTTTTTTAACTGACCGAACTCTGCTTCAAACGTGGCAATTTAACACAATTCGCATTCTTCACTTCATTAAACATATGTCCTCGTTTTTGTAATATTCTTGGAGTTCAGTGGGCATATTTACTAATTTTTCAGAAATTACTAATCACCGAATCTGTATATTAATGAGGTCGCAAGTATAGACCATTCCATTTAGCTCTTTCTGGGCGGCACCATTTTGTTCGACCGCAGCGCCCTCTCCACACATCCGGGAAGTTCAGCGGGTTCGGCGGGGTAAAACAAGAGAGAGGGCACGCGCCCGACTCCGCTAGCAGACGACAAACCGGGGGGTTGCCGTTCTCCATCTTTGGGCTGTATCGGCGGGCTGTACGGAAGATCGAACTCTCGCTCGTGGCTGCCGTTGTGAGGTGGTTCGCGTTCTTAAAATAGTTGTGGCTACTCCAAAATCAGCCTATATCTCTCTGTTGTTCTATTTTGCTAAATGATCAACTAGCATATTTTTTTTCCGTTACTTAGATAGCAGTTGAGTCAACCGGCAGTACTACCCTCAACTACTGCTTGTATTGCGGCAGGAGAACACGTTTTATTTATTATTTCACACTTCCATTCATGGTCGCTAAAGGCGTACACCAGTACGAACTTTTGTATAGTAAAAAAGGTACAGCAACCGGATTTACTTTTCGCCAGAGACCGGCCAACCTGACAGTTTTCCCTATTTTTGTTTTTTTATTTGCACGCCGGTAACAGCGCAATTGGACCCTGTGAGTCTTTTTATCTAGCATAGTATTACATGACAACTGGCATACCATAATCTCCGCATCTGCGCTTGGAAGTTCCAAAATGACGCAATTTTAAACAGAGTTTGCACGCCAGCCGGACGCTAGCTACAGCCCACTCGGCGGAGCGGACGACATGCGGGGTGAGAGGGGGAGTGCATTTTTTTCTCTTTTACCCTTTCTGCTATGACCCTAATGGAACGGTCTATAAAATCAGAACATCGTACACCGGTAAAAAAGACAATTTATTGACAGTTGACAGCGCGCCGTCGGTAGCTCTATCAGATAAAAAGGTTTGCTCTTTGCAAGGTAATATGAATAGCGGTGTGTTGAACCGTTTCAGCTCCTAATATTGTGTACTGCCTAATAGATGAGTAGGTGTTTGTTGATGTAATTAGTGTCCACTACGCTGTTTTTTTTCTGTTAATTTCACTAACAAGACTTTAGTGGCGAACAGCTTCGTCTTGTCGTGTTTGTTGTCTTCATTCCGTCGTCGTCATTTGAGCGGTTTTCATGAGGTATAACGGTTGCCAACTCGCCCTATTCGCTACCTTACAGAAGACTACTTCTTATATAGGTCACGAGTAACAACGGTGCGAGTTTGCGGTTCTGAAGGTCCAAGGTGGCTAACCGTAGAAGGGCACTATCACGCAAAGGCAACGGGTGGAAACACCAGCACGAACGGCTAGAAAACGTGCATGTCCGTGAAAGAAAGAAGCCTCGATATCCTATTATACAGACTGTTTTATCCTGTTTTCAAAAGTTAACAAAAGCTTCAAAAAGAATTATAGGCCCCGCGTTGTTGCGTATGCACTTTCGGATTTTCAGCATATACAGTTTTGATTTTTAGGTTTTATGCAGACATTATTAAGTTTTCAAACTTTTTCCTGTTCTTCAAGTTCATGAAGTTTTCAGTTAGGTTTTCGTTGCCTAGAGAGTAAGCCACAGGAAACACTCGCCCGCAATTATTATTTTGGGAGCAGTATACACAATAAGCTTAGCAAATATTACAAAAAAAAAGATTTTCTTTTTTACAAAGCTGACGAATTGTAATATTAATAAATTAATGTATGTTACGCATGATCCAACATCCTCAATATAAATAGAAGAAAAAAAATCGGTGAGCTTTTCTCCGCGTACGCTCAATGGCCGGCCGGTGAGCTTTTCTCCGCATTCGCCGGTCTCGCGGTGAGCTTTTCTCCGGTGAGCTTATCTCCGGTGAGCTTTTCTCCGGTGAGCTTTTCTCCGGTGAGCTTTTCTCCGGAATTCGACGTTTTAAGAATCCCAGGGATCTGTTTTCAGAAGAAATTATATTAGTAATAGGTGTGCGTCATATAGATCGTTACAGAGGGTGACACAAAGGTACTTATATGACTCAACTATAGTTCAACGGGAACGTTACGGATAGCATAGGGGAAGAATAGAGCGTTACGGCGACGCTGGAAGGACATGTCTTCACATTTGTTAAGGTTCAGGAGCATTAACCGCTTGTTGCACAATTCTTGTACGTTGTTTAGGTCGTTCTGAAGGCTACCTTGGTCGGAAATGTTAGTAACTGAGCGATAAATAACACAATTGTCGGCAAACATACGAATATGACAGGACACATGCAGGGGTAAGTCGTTGATGTAAATTAGAAACAAAAGGGGACCAATAACGAATCCTTGGGAGACGCCCGATATTACTGGGAGAGAATGAGAAGACTGGTTGTTAATGAGAAGAGACTGGAAGTGGTTTTCAAGGAATTCTTGAATCCAGCTTAAAACGTTTATATTTAGGTTGAACTGTGCAAGCTTATATACTAGGCGCTTATGAGGTTTTTGTCATATGCTTTTGCGGAGTCTAAAAAAATGGCGTCAGTTTGTATGTTACGGTCAAGATGCAGATCATGAATTAAAAGGGCCAGTTGGGTTTCGCAAGAGAAATTCTTGCGAAATCCATGTTGCAAAAAATTCAAGAAATCGTTCGAGTCCAAGAAATATATGATCAAAGAGTAGATGACATGTTTCATGATTTTGCAGGGCACGCTTGTTAAAGAGATAGGGCAATAATTTAATGGCGAATCTTTGTTACCTGATTCGTAGATTGGAACGACCTTTCCTGCTTTCCAATCTTTCGGTACTGCGCGCATGAGGAGAGCGATTGCGAGAAGAGTGACGCCAAATATTGTGCAGATGCATGCCTGTTTTAGGAGTTTTGAGCTTATGTAATCCACACAAGCTGATGGCGACAACTTGCAGTTTTCTATCACAGAAGTAATCCCATGGGTAAAAAACTTAACGGGGTGCTTTGCAGACCTGATATTAAAAAGTAGCGTACGGGGACCGGCGCATTAGATTCTTTAGTGAAAACAGATGAGAAGGCAATATTAAAAATGTTGGCGCTTTCGGTGTCGGTAACCACGTTACCGGATTCATTAGTAAGACTAATAGTGTGTGCATGCTGAGGGTTGATCATCTGTCAGAACTTCTTAGGGTTCTTAATTAGAATGTTTGGTAGGTCAACGTGAGAAAAGTATGTTTGGCGTTACGAATTGCAGCTAGGTGAGCATCTTCAGCATTGTAGCATTTTCGCCATGCACCTGTGTTCCCTTTAGTTTGGCATAGTGGAAAAGACGTTTTTTTTTTCTTATTTTCTAGTTTTTTTAGAGTTTTTGTGAACCATGGTTTTTGGCGATTCGCAGGAAAAGGAATTTTCGGAAGGAATATTTCAGCCAACGCGTTTAACTCGTTCTTGAAAATAGACTAGTTATCATGAATTGATCGGTTGTGAAATGTCGCTTCGAAATTTGGAAGAAAATTGATCAACTCATTATTAATAGCACCAGAATTGCTTTTATCGTAAAGACGAGTTGTCTTCTTGTTTGTTTGGCAGAGTAACGGTGTAAACTCAAAAACAGCATGAACAACTTTGTGGTCGCTGATTTATCCGAGGTAATCTATAGACAACAAACAATTCGGATGACTGGTTAGTATCAAGTCTAAAATGTTAGCGGAGTCACGTGCGACACGTGTTGACTCTGATACAATCTGGGTGAGGTTAAAATTGAGACAAACCTCAATGAACTCATTTGTTTCTGCGCTGCTAACTATTAGAGGCATGGGGTTAGTCCAGTCAATATTCGGGAAGTTGAAGTCTTTAAAAAGAAGAATATGCGCGTTGGGGTACTCTGAAACAAGTTGATTTAAGTTATTATTAAGTTTCCGGGAAAATATTTTATTATTATATGGAGGTCTGTAACAAATGCCCTGCTTCAGATGTAGCACGGCAGATAACCCATGCAATTTCAAGGTCAGATGCAATGTTGACAACCGAACATGGAAATTCCTGACTGACGGCAACAAGAACACCTCCCCCTCTTGTATCTTTTCGGTCGCTGCAAAAAAGTTGAAAAATCGGCAGATCGGCCAATACGTCGGTGTAGGCGACGTCACTCGTCACCCACGTTTCGGTTAAAAGCAAAAGATTGCTGCCGGATAATAACATCAGATTCCAGACATGATCACGCTTCGGAAGAAAACTGCGTAAGTTAGTGAAAATTGCTGCGTGTGCACATTAGCTCGGGGGGTGGTTTCGGGACGTCTTATCGCTATCCGCCTACAAGGCCAATGCAAATGCTATGCGATTTTTTTAAACGTTTGCAATGACTCATCAAACATATAGCGTTTTGGTCCGATGAAAAGGGTTTTGAAGCGTAAAGAGAACGGGACTGATTCGATCTTAGCGAAGGCAAGAAGTTTTCTTTGGGCATTTCGAACAGGAAAAGAGAAGTCTTTGCCAATAGACCCCTTTCGAAATACTGCCCTCTGTTGGCCGCTGTTGAATCCCTGCACAATGGCGGACTAAAATCGCAACATCACGGCACAGTTTATGCGTTTGGTCGAAGTATATAAAGAGGGAAAAACGCCCCCACAGAAAAAGGTGATGAGTGCAATGACGTTGCACTTTCGACGCTGTTTGAGTGGCTCGTCGGCTCCTAGCGTTGGCCGCGATCCGACGTTCGCTATCTTATGAAATGACTTGCACGTTCCACGATATCGGTTGTTCCGCCATTGTGCAGAGGTTCCAACCTTCTTATAATCGGCATGCGAATTTCGAAAGGGGTCTATACTGTACGCGGTGTCTTTTAGCCTACGGCCATTTGAAGGAATAGATTCCTTGGTTTTAAAGTGGGTGAACTTCACATTTATTGGGCAGCAGCGGTCAGGTGCGTGACACCCGAGGCGGTGTGCACGTTCGATTTTATTAGGATCCAAGGCCACATTTAATAGTTCAGAACACAGGCCAATGATTTTTTGTTCAGACTGGGCATACGTTTCGGGTGCAGCGGTGTCAGAAATTCCTATTTCTAGCGCGCAGGCGATAGACCCCCTAGCAACGACGCTCACGCCGGATTGGCTGCTTGGCAGCGCGCGAGAATTTAAATTTCGGATTCGGACGGCGCGTGTATTACTCGGAAGCGCGTTAACCCATCTTCCCGCCTGCGTTCACGCCGCTTCGCGGCGACAGTATGCGGCTGCTAATTACAAAACTATTAACCCACTTAGCCTCTCCGTACAAGCCGCTTTGCGGCGTCCAGCCGGCAACCAAAGCCAAAATATTGTGTGTAAATTAACGAGACCGATTAACCGATAAAATAATCGGTTAAAGGGTGGTGATTAATCGAGCTAAAACCTTTAATCGACGCCCAGCCCTAATAATAGACAATGTTTATGTGGGGTCTACAGGTTCTACACGCCAAGGGCATTATTGGTGAAGACGAGATCTGGACCAAGGAACCTGAATTCAAAGTAAGTAGAAATTTGTTCCACATTTAGAAACCTTTGTTCCTTTGACGGATACTCCGGTGTATGAACTAGCTTTTAGAGCCAACAAAATCAGGAATGGGTCTCGTTACAGAGAAATCTTACGTTCTCTTGCCAGGATGTGCCGGCGAGGCCGTTCGACAAGTCCTTCCTCGAACGTCACCCGCCTTCCGTCGGCTGGATCATTGCCGCCAGCGCTTTCGCGTCATTGGGGTTACTGGGGGGCGCCGCATACGCCACTCTGAAGCTTTCCAGACCACGATTTTGGTAACCTCCCGAGGAACTTTGCGTTGTGTCTGCCACAAACACGGGCCGATTTCTGCGGAATAAAAACCATGCCCCCGTGTGCAACGTCGAGTGACACCGTCGAGTTATTGTGTTGTATTTTAAATCTTGAACGGTGAGAGTTAAGAAGACGTGAACGAAGAATCACGGCAGCACGTTTTGTCATTCGTTCCAATCACGAAGCAGTCTCCATTAAATTATCAGCTAGAAAAGTCAGACTGTGATTTCTTTCTCCGTGCCGTGGACGAGGACCCGGGAATTTATTATGTCAGTCGTTGGGAATGGGCAGTTCGCTGCAGGTCCGCAGATTTTGACGCCGTTTCCAAAAAGCATGGGCCGGATCAAACTGAGCCGGATCCTTTGCGTAACACAGGTGTGTGCTCCGATAATTTTTACGAGGACGACTTCAGCATTCTGAATTTGAAGAGTCGACCTACAGAAAGCGTAGTCTGCAACATTGGACCAGCCAAGAGTGGCTGTTGTCGCCTTGGTAGTTTGAAGGAGGTAGGCCACGTACTCTCTTAGAGAGACGCGACACTTGGCATCCCTAGCTGAATTTTCTACCGACATTCAGCATATCAAGGGCATCCATAACATCCCCGCCAACACCCACAGCCGCGTCTCCGCAGTTCAGTATCTCGGGTGCGACCTTAGACAACTCCTTTAAACTACCAAGGCGACAACAGCCACTTTTGGTTGGTCCGACGCCGCAGAGTATACAAAATTTTATTTCCATGTATACATCTACGGAGACTGTAAGAGGTGCCATCCCTACCTCTGCCCGTTTCGATCTGGATGAGCATCGTACCGGCGTGCTGTCGTGTATCACTACTGCGTGGTGCACGTTAAAGACCCCAGGCTAGCAGTCGTACTGCACTGGTTAAATTGTTTATCTACAGTGGGTAACAATGTCGCCATGTTTTAGCAGACTAAACTTCTGCTGTATAAATAACTAACAACTAATTTGAGTTTTTTTTTTTCTTTTTTTTGACTGCCAGAGGTTGAAGGAATTGAAGTGCGAGACTTCTTTCACGGGATGGCTTTGTACTTCGTCGTTTTCTATAAGTCTATGTCTCTACAATCATTAGGATTAGTTCTACAATAATTTCTACAATTATTAGGATTATAGTTCAAAGGGTCTAGTTTTTCAACTAGTTCTGCCTGCTGGGGAGCAGCTTTCCACATCGTAGAAATTTATAAATGCAGAGCTTTTGGTATGGGAAACGTGCTTGCACTCCACCAACTTACTAACAACCGTAATAACATCTTTTCAAGCAAGATGATTGTGCTAATATTCGTGGTGTGCGCGCGCTTTCACAATCAATGCTTCCCGATTTCGCGATTTTCAAAAAATGGTGTATTGTACACCGCAGGCTGCAGCAAAACAGCTTGCCATCATCTAGGAACTTGGAACTTGCAATAGAGAGCGCCACTTAAAGCAGTAATCGCAAGAACGTCGCCTGTGGTTGAGGTTGGTTGAGGAATAAAGCATTGTGAGTGTTTGAACTAAACTGTCCATTTTTATCTGCCGGGTGTCCCAAAACAAAACTTATGATCCACACTAAAATGGCCCGCAAACATCAGCGACCTGAGACATTAAGGCTGCTGTCCCACGGCAGCCATCTTGAACAAAGCTTTAGTTCAACCAATAGAGGGCGACACGCATCCGTGGGGTGTAGGGTGCCTACATGTCTGTCTGTGTCAGGGTGAAGACATCCATTGTTGCCCTGAATGTGCCAGCGCGTGACACTCTCGCGCTCTCGGTGCGTGACTTGGGCGGTAAAATGGCGTCTATGCATTAGCCAAAGCTATGCGCTCGAGCTGAGTGACACCGGATTGCGTGTACTTCAAGATGGATATAAGAAAAAGATTGGGCGGAAAAATGGCTGAGATGTCACCACTCAAGCAGAAGCACGCGTGTGTATGAAGGCACTCTAGTGGGGTGGCCGAAACACTGGTTCAAGGTGGGATGGCTCGAGCACCATCACGTTCCCCTCGTGGCCTTGCTCGCGCCGCTGCCAGCTGTGCTCAGCCAACACCAAATAAACAGAAGGCCTCCGCATGGTTTCCTCTTCTTCTATGAAACGTCATCACAGTCGGATCGCGCTCGGTCGGCTATTGGACCCGAGCCCGACCTTCGACGCGCTGATTGGCCACAAGCCGCAGCCGAACACTGACTCAGCACTCGTGCCCAATCTCTCGCCTCGATCGATCTGACTATGATGACGCGTGTGGAGGCCTTCTGTCTAGGTGGTGTTGGCTCAGCTGGTTCAAGTAGCGTGGCCTAGCAAACTTCTGCATGCGAGAATGTCAGGCAGGGTATAAATGCGGTTCGGCGGTTGTCACGGGTTTTCGCAATAAATCTTACCAAGAAGAAATCGCTTGCTGATTGACGTATCAATATTATATAATGGAAATTTTTTTCTGCAGGAATGCACGCTCAGTAGACTCAATCTTCCAAAATACCAGCGGAAGCGGACGTCAAGTAAACTGCTTCGCGATTTAGAGTACTTACCTCACCATTATAATGACGACTGAAAAGTGACGTCACAAAATATTGTGTTTCACGGGATCCGGGAGATGTTGTAAAGGTTGTTACTATAGGGGGGGAGGGGGTTCCCAGGAAACAAACGCCGTTTCAATATTTTCGGAAGTACCGACACACATAATGTTGCAAGTACAGCTTAGGAGGAATATGATGAAAACCATCAGAAGAAATAGGAAGACGTTTATTTGCAATGAAGACGCTATGAATGAACGGCGTTTAGCGACGGCAAGTTATGAGCGTTCGGGAATTTATAAGTTCACGTGATTGCTAACTATGAACATACGGACAATGAAGACCTGTTTTGTCGGGAGATGGAGTAGCGGTGATGACCTGATATCGGACGACTCGTGGCAGACGAACAAGCAAGTTTCTTCTTAGCGAATGGTACGCGTCCAGTATCAAGCACAACACGTGGTTACCGACGTTGTCGACTTTTCGAACACTTACCGCTTTCGACAAAGGTGCTGGCCCCTGGACTAACTTTGTGGAAAGACTCGAAGTCTTCCTCGAGTCCAGCGCCATCATAAACAGTAATTGAAAGCGATCCATTATTCAGTCGGTGGGTGGCGAAACGTATCCGCACCGGCGGAGTCATTGTCGACGCGTACTCTAAGTGGTTGGAAGTTTACACGATGCCTGCCACGACGTCCAAAAGCGTCATTGACGTTCTACGCTCTATTTTTTCTACTTTTGCCCTACCGAAAATACTTTTCTCTGATAACGCGCCAAATCCTGCTTCAAATAAAATAAACAAGTTTTTGAGAAAAAAAAGAAAAAGAAGAAAACCGGCATCAGGTATCACCTCAGTGCACCATACCATCCTCCAACTAACGGGCAAGCAGAACAGATGGTGTGCGAAACGAAGAAAGCCCTCTTGAAGCTTACGGAAGAAGCAGTTCAGTGAAGAATCGACAGGTTCTTGTTCCAGCAGCACGCCGACGGTCTCATCTTACACGATAAAAACACCCGCCGAAGCAATGTTCGGCGAACGAAGAGCCACACCCGTCATTCTCATGATACTATGGCCTACGAACGAAGATCGAGAGATTCCCACATCGGGAGTAATGGCAGTTTATTCGGTCGGACAACTCTTCTCCGTAAGGAATTTCAGCGGAAGTCGGGCCTTTTATGTAAAACTTGAGTAGAAAAGGCTCTTTGTTGGTTGACCAGAAGTTGTCATCCCACTAAATACGTTGGATATCAATGCCCTTCAGTGTAAATATAAAGAAATCACAAAACTCTTTTGTGCATTGTGTAACTACCCTTGTCTTTGGTAGTAGAAGCTATAGTGGTGATTTGGACCTTTCACACCAGGCTCATTTTTCTTATTTTTCGCCTCACACTCCTTTGCGGTTTCAGCAGGCTTCAAGAATATTATGGAACGGGGACACTTTACGTCAATGAAGCCATTTGTTCCAAGCAGTCAATCAGGGACTGCTGCTAGAAATCCGTCTCTCATATTAACGAATAAGCCGCACTTCTGCACAGTGCAGTTTTCCTGTTCCACATACAGTTGTAAAGCAGCATCGTCATTGATTCTACCATATTCTATTGCGGGTGAAAAAAGGTCTTTGGGTACACGATACTTGAAACAAGTCTGGCAATGTACGTTGTGGTTCGACACCCGCTAATGTCGTCGTCCTTATAGAGCCTCATCATTCAATCATTACATCGTCACCTCATATTGCTCTTCATCAACAGTAAGTACAATAGGCTACCGCTTTATTACAATCCAAGAATTAAAAAATTGAGTCGTTCAGTCCTTCAATATGTTTATCGTTTATATAATGTTATTACGTTACATTACCTCGAGACGATCGACGCCCATCGTCGATCTTAAAATACTTCTACCTGTATATAAATTAGACGCACAAAGGGCGGGGGGGGGGGGGGGGGGGGGGGATCGGTGGCCGAGTGCATGGTCTATACTCTGTTTCACTTTATGATGTACCGCAGTAAAGGTACAAGCGCGAGCTCCTTGCTCTAGGGCACATCTCGGCGGCACAAGCTCTCGTATGCTAAGAGCAGCTACCAACGCTATGAGCTTGCGCTTCTAGCCTTCTCTGCGGTACAACTTAAGGTGAAACGGAGTATAGCACTCGCCAGCTCGGAGCACGTGGAAAGAAAGCTCGCACTGCAGAACCCCTGCCCGTTTTGATCTGGAAGAGCATCGTACCGGCGTGGCGGTCGTGTATCACTACTGCGTGGTGCACGTTAAAGACCCCAGCATTGCGGTTGTACCGCACTGGCTAAATTGTTCATCTACAGCTGAGACACTATACGCCCACTAAGGCAGACTAACTTCCGGCTGTATAAACATACCCACAACAATTTGCAATTAGACGCACAATCACAAAGTACACACCATGCCGCCTCTTTCCTTTGGATTGTATTTCTTTAAACCAGCGCAAGCTCGGGCGTTTTTTCTTTTGAGACGGTAAGAACTGTTGCACATAAAACACGCGTTTTTCCTACCCGGCCGCTTCCTCCTCTCATTATGTGTAGTTGGTTATAACTA